ACTATTAATTACTGTGCCGATGACCGCCGTCTTCGCGTGGATTATTCGACCGAGAGGCTCCGGGCTGTGCTTGTCGCTCAACTAGAGTAGACCACGCGCCAGGTCAGAGGAACAGCGCGGGGGACTCCATTCTGCGGTGACACTGAACTTCGCGGGTTGGCCAAGGATGCAATTCTTACTATCACATTGCCCGCATTGCCTTTTAAATTTTTTTCTTTTTTCCTCTCCGTGATTGCCTCATCGGAGCAGGAAGAGAAGTGTGTCGCCCCCACCCCGACATAACAACCGGTCAAGGTGCCCGCGGTGCGTTTGGCAGGTGGCCCTCGACTCGCATCGTGGTGCTTTTTAACTGGAAGCGTAGGCTGGTTCTGCTGGTGGAGAACTTAGCCCTAGGAGCACGAGAGGCGGCATCCTAACTTGGCCAGCGGCCTGCTGCCGCCGGGCCGAGCGTCCTCTCGGCGGCACCCAGCTGCCTGCGAACTTTTCTGTTACTCCGGGCATTTGGGGTGCTCGAGTGCGAAGCCTGTGGACACACGGGGGGCGGCCGCTCTCAGAGCGCCGGCCGGCGGCTCCCGCTTGGCACGAGCATGGGCAGCGCCGCCTCTGCCGGACCTCCGCGCCCCGGGCCCCGCCGCCTCGGCCCCCTTGGGTGTCCGCGTCGCGGCCCAGTCGGCGGCGCCCGCCGCTCCCGGGCGGAGAGCACAAGCCCAGACGGAAGCCGCGTCTGAGAATTCCTTTCGTTTTCCAGGAATCCCTCCGGTGAAGCCCCCGGGGTCCGTGCACGGCGGCCCCGCACCGGCCGCTCACTGTTCCCGGCGACCGAGAGGGCCCGGGTTGAAGGGCGCATCCAGACCCCCATCTGGGGCGGGTCGTGGCCCGCCGGGGTCTTTACACCAGAACGGTGGTGTCAGCACAGGGCGTTTAAATCCGTTTTTTGGAAACTTTTTGTTTTGTTTTTTGGTAAGGGCGGCCGACCCATGGGAAAGTTTGAGTATTTACGATTCCGGGAAGTAGGATGTGAACCGGGACTGTTACTAAAAATAGCCGTTTTCTGTCCTCTTCCTCCAAAAGGCCTTTCAGTTTGGAGGATTTGGCTGAAATGTCCTACAGCCTTGGTCTTTCTCAGCCCTTGCACAGCACAGTGGAGAAATCTTTTTCGAGTTTAGTTCCCCTCAGGATTGAACAGCACAAATCCTAAGGTGCCCCAGCCTGGCTGCTGCTTCCTGCAGCAGGTCGACTTTAGGGGTAGCTAGGATTCCCTGGGAGGAGCCCCGGCCAGGCGTGAGCACGGCAGAGCTGGAGAGGCCGCTCTAGACCAACTTCATGTGCTTAATGTAACTCTGAGCCCTCTTGAATTTTTAACTTCGCTTCCCTTAATTAATCTGCCCAGGGCTTGTATATAAATGGCTGTCTACAGCTGCTGCAAATTGATTTATCTCCTGATAAAGGTCGGGTTGCTGACCAAAGCATTCCTTCTACCTTCTGTGTGAACTGAAATGTGTTTTACAGGGTTTTCCCCCCTCCTAGTCTCCTTTTAAACATCTGGACCATTTTTAAGTGCACTCAGTGGCTTTTATTATCATTCCCCTCGTTTGCATAGAACAGGAGTGGAACTGGGTCTGTGCCCAGTGAGTCCACACTCCCTAGAATACAAATTGACCAGCGTCTCTGTGATAAACGGTTTGTAAGTGTTGGGGCCTCCTTTGAGTTTATTGCAGCGGTTTGCCTTCACCATGTGAGTGTTCTGTTGCATCCAGTTTGTCCTGTCACAGGATGCCTTAGAAAAAGATCAACAAATACCATTGTTTCTTGAAACAGCATGGCCCCAGTTTAGGTGTTTGTGTCAGCTGTGATATGTGCAAACAGAAGCAAATTCATAATTCTGTGCATTTCCTCCTTGTTTTAACATTATGGTGGCTGTCAGATCAGAGAGATAAGGTGGTGAGATTTAATTTTCTTTTTATTATTGCACAGAGCAGTCTAACCCTGTCATCCAATATTAATCAGAGAATCTTAGGTTGAGCCAGGCTTATTTTGTTTTTTTCAGCAAGGATGGATGCTGAAGAAGTTGAAATCTATCCTTTCTTGTGTTAGACTTAGCATTTGATATTCACTGAGTTCACTTTTGTCAAAAGACAAAATTCTAACAAAATAATCACCCAGTCAAGCTTGCACACAAAATGGACTGAAATGATGCTAAGAGAACTGTAATATTAAATATCTTTGTTTAAACATTGATAATTTAATTACAGGCCATTAAGGCAGCAGTCACTGTATTTGAAAAGCTAAATATTGTGTAGGAGAATTTCAGAGTGTAGCATCTCCAGTGTCCAGTTCACACCTAGCAAAAGCAGTGGAGAAAACTATGTTTTGTCCAATTCTTGGACAACTTACAGCAGACCAGAAGTCTTTGAAATGCTATTTTTCTTTGTAGACTAAGTGTCTTTGACTGGCTAATGCCCACTATGAATTTGACTTGGAAATGATCTTTTAAAGGACATTCTTCATATGTCCTATACCTGCAGAACAATGCAAACTGCACTATTGCAAGTTGCTGGAAACAGCAGGACAGTAATGTTTCAGCTACAGGGCTGCAGTTATTTTTAATGCTTTCACAATTTTGCTTTTTCTGAGAGAAGCAAATATTGCTGTTGGTGTTAGCATTTGATATGATGAGCTTTCCCATTGAAATGCTACTCTTAAGTATTTTCAGATGAAAGGATACTTCATAAATTGCAAAGAAATACACAAATGGAAAGTGCTATTGTAATTTATTTTATTGTAAAATGGAAGCTTAACTAATCTTCTCTCTCCTCTATTTTTTAAACATTGAAAAGGGATCACCAGAAAGCAGTGCTTCCAATAGGAATGCTGGCCAGTGGTTGTCAGTTTAGGACATTCTTCACTGTCAAATCCTGTTTCTCACGTCTTTGATATGAACATCAGCTGACAGGCACTGAATGCAAAGCCTTCTTCATTGAGGTTTTATGCAGGCGACATAGCCCTTCATAGCAAAGCAGTCTGAAAAATTGGCACCTGCAGGATTTGCATGTGAAAAAAAACCCCAAGTCAGTTGCATTTTGCTGGGGTCTATTACTGTAAGTTATGTAAGTTCAGTGAGAAAGGCTATTTATTTGTTGCTGTTTGGGCATTTAAAGGGTCTTTATTTTATGGCCACCTTATTCATCATATAGTGATCCACAGACTATGGATAGCAGAAGCAGTGAGCAGTGGGCTCGGACTTTATAGAAGTTAGTTCTTATGGAATGGAGTTGTTTTTCACCATGTGCTTGCAGAGTGCACCTAGAGGCATAGTTAATTTTTAAAATGTGACTGAATTCACTGGACTTTGAGAATAATCAGAAATTAATACATAAAATTGGTTGCAAATATCTCTGGAAAATAATCTGGGATTTTCAGACTCCTGTATTTCAATAACAGCTCAATGTATAAGAAAAAAAATTAAACCTCTCATACTTATAAATTTGAGGAAAATGTTGTGTCCCCTGGTTTTACTTGTTAAATTATGTTTGTCACCTAAATGCCCTTTGGAAAATTATAGTTGATGCTCTTTATGCAAACTAACCAACAAATGTAAGTCAACTAGAAACCTTTGTGACCTGTCAGTGGGGACATTTATCCAGAGTAAGCTACTTATTATTATCTAACGAGACACCTTCCAACTTCACTCTTTTACAGCCATTAATATAAGAGTTCCTAAATAATGTTTAAAGAACAGTGAACATTTTATTAAAGCAAACATTAGTTCAGTTTAATGGAGGTAATTGTAAATGATAAGACAGAGCAGGTTATCTCCGTGTTGTTTAAACAGAAGGAGTTACTTTGCACCATTTCCAGTAGCCATCTGTAGAAGAGAAGGGCTTGCACCTGTCTGTCCACACTAATTATAGATTAGGGCCAAAGAAATGAAACTCGAGGAGGTTTCCAGCTAATGAAATCCATACTGATTTTATTGTAAATGTGTTTTATGTAAAGAGGATGATGGTTGAGTTATGAGTGAATAAATCACTATGTAGCTACTAGGTGCTTGGTTTATGAAACACAATTCTCCTGCATTAACCTTTGATATTAAAAAAAACCAAAACAACTTAAACATAGATGCTAGCCTTTGTTTGGCATCCATAGCTACAATTTAGTGAGTAGCAGTAAAGTTCCCTATGCAATTCAGAAATGAGCTAGAAAGCAGCTGGAACACTAAGAATATTTTGATATTCTCAAATTCAGATGAAGTAGAAGGTAGGCTCTGTTTTAACTTGCGCATATAAAACATCAGAAAATTAGAGAGCATTTTTCTTTTTTTCTGCACTTCAGCTTCATATACATGAGAAATTAAAGCAAAATGAGTGAGGAATGCATTCTGCAATAAAAGGTCACATGAATGTCTACCACATCTGTTTATAGTAATTATGAACATAATTAACATAAGAATTACAAATGAAATAATGACAAGCTGAGCAATGAGATATTATGCCATAATGGTCATATGTTGGAATTCTCAC